CACAACCCTGCGAGGTAAGTGAAACTAGTGCATCCCATCATGTACTGTGTACACCAACATGCCTCTTTTTTTTTGTTGTTATCTACACAACAGGAATATGTCAATCACAAATGCATGTCCATTTGATATAAGGGTACCTCTCATGCCTTCCACCCCAAATACCCCCAGAAAGTGTAGTTCGGGTCTGAGGATTTGCTTCAGGAAATCCACAGCCACCTCTCTTCAAAGCCTAGTACCCATGATCCTCTGATGGAAAGGAATGATGACCAACCCTGTACTGAAGACACACTCCTTGGGTACACAATTGAACTGAAGACAGGTGGCATTTTTCTTCCCGGAACAAGCTGTGCTTGCTACTCATTGTGATGCAGTTCCCTCAGAATAAAAATAAGCTGTAACACTTTTTATGTCAAGTTCTTTTATTTCAAATATAACTTGTCTCCTTTCCCCAGCTAAACTCTTGGCAGTAACAGGTATATTCTTGACACATATCCATCATCCAATTTAATACAGGTACTTTGTTCTGCGTTATGCCGAAGAGTAATTGGGACTGCTAGAAAACATTTATTTATGAGATGTCTCTACAGAAAGAATAAAAAAACAAAGGGCAAAAAGAGATTCAGCACATCACCTCTTCCAATTATTTAAATACAGCCACAATTTTTTGTCCGAAGGAATACGTGTTTTGAATTCTGTAGAGCTGGGTGGGGTGTTAATGGCAGTATGGAGTCAGGTGTATTGTCTATGGGAGTGCCAAGGCTTGGATTGAGAGGCTTAGGGACTGAGCAGAGGGGGCACCTCACACCCAAAATTCCACGGGAAGGAGCTGTGCTGTGGTCACGAGCCTTCTGTGCTTGGATTCAAGTCCATTTTTAGGATCTCAGCAACAGTGGCCATGTTTCTGGATGGATGGATGGATGGATGGATGGATGGATGGATGGATGGATGGATGGATGGATGGATGGATGGATGGATGGATGGATGGATGGTACTCAGTCCCCAAAATTGTCCTGGTCCAGCTTGGTGAGAGAATGCACTGTATTCAGCTAAGGGCTGATTTTACACTGGCCTTTTTTTTTTTTAAAGTAAGCATGTTTTTGGTGGAAACGTGGCCTTGATTATTTATTTATTTATTTATTTATTTATTGGACTTATATACCGTCCCATAGCGCTACAAGCACTCTCCGGGCGGTTTACAATTTTTTTAAAATTATACAGGCTACACATTGCCCCCCAGCAAGCTGGGTACTCATTTTACCGACCTCGGAAGGATGGAAGGCTGAGTCAACCTTGAGCCGGCTACCTGGGATTTGAACCCCAGGTCGTGAGCGCAGTTTTAGCTGCAGTACAGCGTTTTAACCACTGCGCCATGAGGTTCATTTACTTTGTTGACACTACATAACTATGTGTCATAGCACTGAACAGGAGTATGCACAGGTATAGTATCTGGGGACTGCTATGTATCAAAATAATAAGCAGGACCCATAAACCCAAAACAGTTTTATTATTTTGTTTTAATCCCACAAAGGAATCAAAAAGACTGAATGAAGAACTGCAATGGTGTCCTTCAGTCTTGATAAACTATGGTATTGTGCTCTGAATAGGGGTCAAGGAAGAGCGTCTAGTGTGGCTGAGAAGGCCAATTCGAGAGCGGCCATCCCTTCCACACTGAAGACAAATACAATCTGTCCCCTATCCAGCTCCCTGATTTTATTGCTTTCGGGACTGCCTATTTGCCTCGGCCTGCTGGACAAGGGTTTCTTCAAATTGGGAGACGCCATGATGCACCACCTGCCTCCAGGCTGAATGCTCCGATGTCAGGGTTTCCCATCTGTTGAGGTCCATTCCCAAGGCCTTCAGATCCCGCTTGCAGATGTCCTTGTTTCGCAGCTGTGGTCTCTCTCTGGGGCACTTTCCCTGCACTAATTCTACATAGAGGAGATCTTTTGGAATCCGACCATCAGCCATTCTCATGACGCATGAACAACTAAAAGAAAATATTAAAAACAGTGGCCAAAATCCTCTTGCACAACGTTATACTGAACATCCGCCAACTGGGACAGTTAAGCTAAATTAATCGAAAGCTTCCTGTCTCCCCTTTTCAAATTCCTAGGTTCCCTTGCACTCCTTTTTGCCCTGGGGAAACCTTGGGAGCCTTGGGATGTGGGGCTGGGGAGTCTTTACTAGCCAAAAATCACTGCCAGACCATTGTTGTTGCCATAACTGGATCACTGCCACTGTGATAAAGAGATAATAATAGCTATACTAGATATTTATAAATATTCTCAGCAGCCACCGTCTAATGTTGCACAAGACAAAAAGGGTGGAACCAAAATAATAATTGATGATGATGATGATGATGATGATGATGATGATAAATGTAAAGTTGGATCGAGACCAGATACCTTACTCTCAACAAGCAAGGCAACAGCTGTATTCCTCCAACCTGCCCATCTTCAGCGAAGCCCATACGTTTCTGAGAAATTATTTGACATGCAGCTGGATCTAAAAAAAACATGAAGAATGCAACCAAGACCCAAGGAAGGACAGGTGGGAGGTGGGGGAAAGAATCAGAGATTTTTTTTTGAAAGAGTAAAACTGCATTACTGAACATGAAATACAATATATTGTTTACAACTATTTGTCCAATGATAAATGAGAAAATGAACACTGATTTTTTCCATCACTTGCAAATGGCATCTTAAGACCTAGTGAGGTTGTGGTAATGGAGACAGGGAGGGCTTTTAAATTATGTTTTTTGGGGGAAAGTATTTTCCCAGAGGAAATTAAAATGTTTTTATCACAGAAGAGATATATATTCCTTTGTTTGATTGATGTATACTACAAAAATTTTCAAGTATGACTTAACCACCTTTGTGAAAAGTTCAGTTATTAGGCATCACTTTGTTATGTCAAATTCATACCTTGGAAAAGTTACACTTTTGGCATACAATCCACACAATTCACTTGTCAACAAGGCTGGTAATCGTTGGAATATTCTAGGAACTGGGGTTCCACATAGTAATCTTTCCAAACTCTGTCCATTGCTAGGATGAGTGACGACAAGTAACGTTGGCCAAAAATAAACTATTTTGCCAAATTTGGAAGTTCATGAGGGAAATGTCAGATAAGCCACTTCAAATAGTTTGTGAAATACAAACCTTTGGCATTTAGCATTAATGTTTTCCGTTGATTTCAACAAGACTTACTTCAATGTAAGGGTGTATAAGACTACAGCCTATTTAAAACTCGATATACAAACATATTCCTGCGACTGCACCACTTTGAAGTTGGTGTGGGGTTACCTTATGAATAGATACACCTCCTGCAATTAAACAAATTCATATCCCATAGAATTCAACAATTGCAAATGAGCAGTCGTGTTCCATTTCAAGGAATGCACGCTTCACAAAGCAAATTTAACATCATAATGAATGGATGCAGTGCGAGTGAAATTGGGCAGTTGGAACAAATAAAATAGCAGCCAAAGCCACAAATCAGACTTATGATTGAACGTGATGACAGTTCTTAGGAAGCACACATATTGATAAGGACAACTTTTCTGGCATGGTAAAATGTTAATAGGTTTCAGTGCCTTTACTTCTTGAAAATCTCAAAATAAAATGCAAAACTAATTTCCAAATGAAATTGGACTACATTTGAATCCTAACGAGAGATGGGCAAGAACCGCCAGTTCGATGGTTTGGGATGAAGAGGTGTTTGGCGTTTCAAAGCCCCGCCTCCTCTGGTCACTGTCTCTGAGTGGCTGTCCCCTGGAGGAGGCGGGGTTTTAAAGTGTCAAACACCTGTTCAGCCAATAAACAAACTGTCACCAACTGCCAGACTTGCAGTTCGTACTCATCTCTAATTGTAACATTTGAACTACAGAGAAGGCTTTGTCTCTCTAACAAATGCAATTCAGCTTTTTTTTTTTTTTTTGGTCAATCACTAGTACAAAAACAAAACACTCTGTACAGGGCACAAAAATAGCATTGCATACTTTTTAAAAAAGTTTTTATTTCCTTATGGTGCATTTCTGTGACTGCCTATGTAACCCCCTATAAAAGATTGGTCCAGCCTGAAGGAGTGGAACTAAGAAAGAGCAGGGCTGTAAGAGAGTTTTGAATCAGAAAGAGCCAGAGAGCTGAATTGGGCACAGCTTTTGTTGCAGCTTAAACTGCAAAGGGCGTTGTCAGCAGGGTCTGGATAGGAATCCTATAGGTTTGTGTTAAGAGGCGTGAATCCACACAGTGAATTCAGGAATTGCATACAATTGTATTGATATTTTACTTTAAGGTGTTGAAAATTCTCCTGTGTTAGGGTTACTGAACCCAGTTGAGGAAGTGGATATCTTTGAAATCAAAGGGACACTCGAACCTTTGCAAATTCTGCCAATAAATTTCTACATTGCTGCTGTCGCCGAGGGCTTGGGTGCACACAAACGGTAGCGTTGTGTTGTTCTAATTGTCTATTACTTGAATGCAAGTAAAGAGAGACTATTTTTGTGAAAAATGTCCTTGCAACAACGGCCCCATGGAACTTTAAAGTGGTCGCAATGACCAGATAGGCGGGG